GGGGGGGGGGGCCTCACCTGACACAGGGCAACCAAGGTGAAAGATCAGGTTAATGGAAGTCTACTTTCCCACAAATTTTGCTGCCACACTAGTTTATCTGTCTCATTTTACCACCTAGGGCCACACTGAGCCGTCTCATGAAAAAAACCCTGGATTCTCAGAAAGAGGAAGTTTTCCAATTTGGACATCATTAAAGTGTCAATGAATCATTCCTTTGTTGCTGCTGAAGGTCTCCTCACAAACATTTTGTCCAGCAAGATACTGCCATCTGATCTCCTTCCAGAAGTGTATGCCTCTCCCTAAGGAGGTACTTGGTAATTTGTAAAATTACATTTTATGCTGCAGGTCAAACAGCAGACCACAGGAAACCAAACAACATGACTGGCATCATGTGACAGCTGCAGCACAGAGTTCGAGGAGTCGTGGGAGGGATGATAAAAACTGAGAAAGGGACTGTGCAGAATTTGAATCAAATACAGGAATGAACGCACCAAAACTCTGGATAACACGGTTCCCATTCTCGTGCCACATGCAGTTACACTGAAACAAAGCCTTTCCCTTTAGTCCTGCTGACATGTGGGTCAGTTTGTGAACTCTTGATAAAGGCTGATACAAAGCAGATGTCATCACAGTCACATGATTAGAAAGAGTATGTTCCGCTGTTACTCACAGACTTGCTGTTTGTTTTAAAGACGTATTCGGTTCATTTCCTGCTCCGTATTTATATTCAAGAACTCAGAAATGTATCATACCAAACAAAAACAATGGAACAAGGAAAAACAAATCAAGAAAACATAGTTGTATTTGCTTTATTTGTGGGCATTTTACCCTTTCTTGGACTGGGCAGTGCAGAAAAGAGACAGGAAAGTATGGAGAGAGGAGGGGGGATGAAATGCAGGAAATAAGTCAGCAGCAGGCTTGAAACCAGTACTCTAAAAGTACTCTAGCCTTCAGTAGGAGTCTCCTAGTCAACCATAATTTCCTTCTTGATTAGAAATGGCAGCTATTTTAAAACCTATATACATTTAAAGCCCAAACCTAATTCAGAAAATGACAGCAGACAGCACAATTATGTGCAACAAAGACTATTATCAGATATTCTAAAACAGTCATAGAAACACCTTAATAAATACGTACCCCTGTAAACACACAATGATTTGGAAATGTGCTTACAGACTAGCCCTGGTCAGGAACAAAGGTAATATAACTAGCAAAATGTCACTCTGCTGGTGCAACATCCTTTATCTATAGAGGACAAGGAGCAGGTAACAGTGAAAAGAAACAAACTTCTTTCACATACATTTACCTAATATTTTAAACCTAAGCTATGTCTCATATAACTGCTGTTATAAAGCATCAACATTTATCGAAACGCAGAAAAACAAATCCAGTGATCCACACTGTGGTCAAAGGAATGATGACCTTTGTGCTTGCATATTGGTCTATGTTTGACAACTTGCCAATTTTTCTTTCAATGTGATTAAGACAACAGCACAGTAAAAAGATACATTTTAGCCAAATGGACACTTTGCTTTATTATCCGTGTCTGCAAATGTTTTGGGAAATCTGTTTCCCAGAAAGGATCACAAGTACACTGGGCTTAAAATGCTGGCAACAGCCTGAAAAACAGCACACCGGTTATCTATTTACTGATCCTAGTGTAGGGGCCAGGGTAGCCTGTAGTACAGTGCACAACACAAAACACACACTAACAGATCCAGTAAGGTAGGACCTTGTATTTGGACTCAGAATGATGTAAGATAAAGTAAATGTTACTTATCTTTTGTTAACGGCTATTTCAGTCCATCTGTGTGTCTTTTCTTTATTCGTAAAAATGCTTAAAATTCAGTACAGCTTGGGACTACTTTTTCCAGAAGCAGAAGAGAACTTTTTCCATCTGTGACATCAGCTCTGCAGCACAGACATCCACACCAACGTATTTGATGTAATGTCACACATACTGGTGGCGAAATCTAATTTATTTCATTGCTGGGCCAGTTTAATTTTCCACAATGCAATCACTGTACACCACCAAGCAGCTCTTCTACAGTTAGCTACTTTATATTTCAGACTGAAGTGGGCAAATCGAGCCAAATATCAGTAGTAATACTAGTATTGGTATGGGCTCGATACTAGCACAAAAGGATCAATACTTTGACTTGTGCTAAATTCATTGTTTATTTGGAAATGGGTATAAAATATTTATTTATAGCCTATAATACATTTAAACAACAGAACTACTTATGACATTGATTACTTATGATGGAAGGTAAAAAATCACAGTGATTTGGTTGTCATTAAAATGTATTTAGAATTGTCAAATTAATGATGACATCTCCACTGCTCTCCCCTCCATCAGCTGCCTTTACGAGTAAAAAGTATCGGTATGTGTACTGGCCCTGTATTTACATGGTGTCCGACCGATACCAAACTGCACGCACACTCGGGATCCTAAAGGGTTTAAAGACACCACATTCTCATACAAGTGTGGAAGCAAGATTTATACAGAGGTCTAAAGCCGCCCCAACATATTAGTATATTACAGAAATACCACAATAGACCCATTTCTGTAATATACTTACATATCTATATTATAGCTAATATATATTGTAATATATCTATATCATGGCTAAAGCACTTCTGGATGGATGCAAACTGCATTTCGTTGCCCTGTACCTGTGACATGTGCAATAACAATAAAGTTGAATTCTATTCTATTCTACACCAACATAAACACAACATAAACACAGTGCCGTGCACCGTTACTTAGGAGCCACACTTAAAGGGCGCGTGCTCTAACACGCCCCCTTCTTTACCCCCTCGTTCGTTTCGAGCACTTTGTTATTTTGTATAATGGTTCTGCTGACAGACGCATACACCCGCACGTTAGTGGGTCCACCGCTTGCGTCACGTACGTAAGGCATATGTGGAGCGCGTGTCTATAGAGCGCCACAGGCCAAGCTGTATTAAATACAATATCCATGCAAAATAAATAAAGTAAAATACAACAAAAAGTTACCGATGTGTGAGTGGTGAAGAGTACTCAGTCCACACAGGTAGCTATCATCTAATAACTGCGGCTAACAGCCCGCCCACACACAGCGTGTTTGGCTGCATGCAGAGGTAACCTCCAACCACCTTCTGTCTCTTATTTCACTTGGGAAGAACTTACCACCACACAGGAGCTGGAAGTCGCCATGTCTGTGTCAGTCCCTGCCGTTAACAACGTGTGTACTCCAAGGTGCGGACTTCAGACAGAAAACGCTACAGCGTATCCTCAGCTTGATCTCGCGGACTCTTCACCCTCGCGACAGCGTACACATGGAGCAGATAGCTCCGCTGCTACCAGAGGTGTCTGTCTTCTTCCGCGCTCGCGCCTCTGCTGCTGTCCCGTTGCAAGCACGTGATCGTACGCACAAGGGCGGCGGGCAAATGGAAAAATGCGGGGAGGAGTCAACTCCTCCCATCGCTGTTGGAGAGCTGCCAATCAAAGAACAAAGCTCCGTGGAAATGCAGCGAACCCGAGTTTAAGAAGATTCTATTAGTCATAGATACACGATGTTGCGCA